TAAAACATCCTCTATACCTAGCCTCCGAGTAGTTGGATTACAGGGGTACACCACCACTCCCAACTGAGTTATGTCAGAACAAGTATTTTTTTTAAGGGTAGTTTCATACATTGTAAAAGTAATTTTATTTATACAGTTTTTTTTTCAAAAATCTAGTCATTTTATCTTTTGTTTTTCTTATCTGACTTTAGCAACTTTCTTTATATTTCCACCAAAGCTTTCCACAATTGTGTTTTTTTTTTTTGCTAGTAATTTCTTGGTTGATAGTACATTTGTGAAATGTTATCTGTTGTTACAATCCTTTTGCAGTCTGAGAAAGAATTCATTATCTTTAAAATAACAAAGTGGACCAAACCAATTAGAACTTTATTCCAAATTTATCTGGCTTGTTTGGCATGTAATGTGTAACTCTAAATCCAGTCTTTGATGGTTGTAACTCCTCATCAACTGGAATAAACACTTCAGGTTTATAGCAACATTGAGAATTTTCAGATAATTGATTCAACATTGTAGATATCATGGCAAATTTTTTGATTTGTAAACTTTGACTTCTTTCACTCTTCTTATCAAACTGTAAATACTTCATAATTTCGTCGTTAAATCATTTCGATTCATTGTTTTTGAAAAAAAATGGGCCTTCAATTTTGATTCCACATGTATGAGATATCCTAATTTTTGCCTCATATGCCCTGTGAGTATACAGCAAAGAAATAAATGCTTCCAGTTTTTCTTTCATTCCGTTTTCAACACCTTAATTGATTATTCTTCTGTACATTTCAGTTACATTATATTAGTTACATATTACCTTAGATGAATTAATTCATGTGAAGCAATAAGATCAATGGTAAAAGTCTACATTTGTTTTTTTCACTAAGTAACGTTTATCGTATCCTGTTGGGCTAGATATAACCATACAAATATACCTACTCTTTACAAATGAAAATAATGTAGAGATAAATGTAAAAAATTTTACTTTAAAATAAATGCATAGTATTCATGGATCATTTTGACCACACGACAAATTTTTTTTTTAAATTGAAAACAAAGATTAAATAAAATACTTACTGCACCTTCTATGAATTTCCATGCAATTCGATAGAGGCATTACACAACGGTTTAACACTAAGTAAATTTTAATACAAAATTAAAAAACTGTCAATTTGACCGTTCCGACGGGTTTAATGTTAAATAAACAATTTAAATTTATAAAACGAAATTATAATTTATAAAAAATTAAATAAAAACACTTACTAATCGATTTAAAACATTCAAAAACTCTTTTTTTTTAATAACGATATTAAAAACACAACCGAACACTATCACTTAACGGCCATTTTACTACCTGAATATGAAAAAGGGCCCAGAAAAACCCGCGAATACGTTTGAGAAACAAACACATTTTATTATTATTACTCTATGGTGGATTTTTAAATATTCAAAATGGATCCGTTATTAAAAATAAATCAGAATAAAAAAAGAAAAAACTTTTTTTTTTTTTTTTTTATCATTAAAAACATTTGTAGATTTATTTTAAAAGAAATGACAAGTGAGTACGATATTAACCGGGCTTGAGATAGAAATTCCCTAATTAAATTCCGAGATCAAAAATGAAGAGCATTTTCAACTGCCATTAAAGACGAGGGATTTAACAAAAAAAAAAAAAAAGAAATGAAAAAAAAAATAAGAGAGAGATAGAAAAAAAAAGTAAAATTAAAGAGAATTGCAAAAGCAGACGACGATGACAATATTTTTTTTTTTTAAGTAAAAGTTTTTTGTTCCTAATCGTTTAATTTAAATTTTTTTTTCTTTTTGTAAAATTTACTAATCTGGTTAAAATTCAAAGTTTTAAATTGCATATAAAATAAATTACTTGCATAGACTTTTAAAACAATTAAACCAGGTAAAAACTTATTTTTTTTGGAGAAAAAAGTTTTTCTTTTTGGAATCACCCCTCCCCCCCGAAAAAAAATGATTTTACTTATTCAAACAAAAGAAAAAATTTTTTTTTTTTTATCATTAATTTTTATGTAAGTTAAAAAAAAAATCCCAGATGAATAATTAAATCTTTATTACCAAAAAAAAAAAAAAAATTTTAATTGAATTTTAAAAAATCATTTCTTACAATTTTTATTATCATTATTATTATTGTTATTTTTTAATTTAATTTCAGTTTGCATTTTCTTTTTAAAAAAAAAAAAAAATTTTTTTTTTTTTCTTGTTTGTTTTTT